TTTTATATGATTAAATGCTTATTAAGTTATGGTTTTATTCATTTTTATAATTAATTTTATTATTTTAATAAATTTTTATACTTATAAAACTATTTTTTAATTTAATAAAGTCAGCCTTTAATTTTTTTTTTAAAAAAATAAATAAATAAATAAATATATACATACGATACGACATAAGTAATTTTTTAATTCCCGATTTTTTATATATACTTATAAATAAATAAACTTTTAAACTTTAAATAATATTAAATATATATAATCTTTATTAAATAAACACTTAAATATAAATAATTTATAAAATAAAATTTAAAAAATTTCATTTTAAATAAGATAAAATAAAAAATGTAATTGATAAAATACAATAATAAATCTAATTAAAATTCAATAGACTATATAAAATATCTTCATTAAAAATATATTTTAATCCAAAAGTACTTTTATTTTTCTTATTAATGGAATTATTATTAAAAAAAAAAAATAAAAAAAGTTTTTTTTTGATAATATACTGTTAATACCATAATATAAATATGAATGAAAAAAAAGAAAATAAAGCTATTTACAAAACTAATTAATATACATATATATAATAATTCGGTAATTAATGCATATTAATACTTTAGGTTATGGAGTTTTTTATTAATTATGGGAAAAAAAAATATATAACTTTTTAATATATATAGATATATTTTTATATATATAAATGATTATTTATTTTATGTTTTTTTTTAATTTATTAAGCTTTTTTAGATTTTCACTTTTTCTTTTTTTATATTTCTTTGTTATTTTCAGTAGTCTTAGATTAAGCTTTCTTTTTACTTTTTCCTTCTTTTTAGGCAAATGTAAATAACTAAGAACCCGCCACAGGTAATGTTAATTGACTTTTGGGTAAATCTTAAGGCTTTTATACTGAAAAATTGATAGATTTCATTTAAATTTTGAAGTTTTTTCTTGCAAAAGCTTACTTAATATTACTAGTTTCTTCCATTTAATCTTTCTTGAAGTCCTAAAAGTTAATTTTTTAATAAAAAGTTGAAAAAGGTTTATACAGAGTTTTTTTTTTTCTATAATAAATTGATAAACTATCATTTTTTCTTCTTAAAATTTCTTCTAAATCTACCTAATTTTGCTAAATTTCTGTATTTTTCAAAATATTTTCCGTTTTTAAGTTTTTAGTATTAGTCTATGAAAATTTTTAATCGTAAAGAAGATTATTATTCTCATTTTAAAAAGTAGAAGAAAAAATTAAATTTTATTTATTTTTTCTAATTCTTTAAATATTCCTTGATTTAATTTATCTTTCAAAATCAATAATTAACTCCGGGCTTCCAAAAAGATTGTCCTATAATTAAAAATCTTATAAATATTAAAATTTTAAATCAAAAACTTATTTTTAATCTTTCTTTTCCTCTTCTACTTCTACTTATTATTATATATTATTTTATATAAACTCAGTAGTTGCTTATTATTATTATTTTAAATTTATATTATCCTCATCTTTAGATATTTAAAGGGAATTTTCTCTACTCTTTATTATCTAAGATAAGCTTTATTATTATGAAACTTTTTATTTAATTTTTTATTAATAATTGTTCTTCTCTTCATTATTCATTTTTATAATTTCAACGTATTTATTCCATTCGCCCTATATATAATTATCATCTTCCTTATTTAAAATACCTTATTTGGTATATTCTTTTTTTTTAGCAAACACATTGATGTCTTAAAAACAGCTTCCTAAAGATGTTGCTTAATTTTTATAATTAATGTTTTATTCAAAAACACTTTTATTGTTTGCCCAATTATTAATAATCCCTTATATTTCCTCAACTTCTTTTTTATCTTATACGTATTTATTTCTTTATATCATCCATTCATTTTCTAATCTGATTTCCTATTAATTATTACTAGGATTATAAACTAAATATACAGACCTTTGTTCCCCTTAGGGAATTTCATTTTATTAATAACTACATATATTATTTATATCTGAAAAAAAAGCAGGTTTAGGAGGCATTAAGATGTTATTAATATTGTTATTGTTATTGATATTATTGTTATCATTGTTAATGTAATTATTATTATTATTATTATTATTATTATTATCATTATTATTGTTATTAATATTATTTATTTATATTGCTTTAAATTATGAAAAATTTGTTTAATTCCATGTTTATCTAAAAAAATCTCCATAATTAGTTAAAGGTCGAATATTAGTACTTTAAGTAAAAGGTCTTGATTATATTCCAATACCAACTGTATTTGGACGTGTACTATTAGATATTAATGTCATTTCCTTAGTTGTAAAATCTTTAATTCTATCCTTAGCTGGTTCTATATTTTAATATTTAGACCTGTTTTTATTCTCATAATCTTCTGTTTCTTATTAATATTATCTTTATAATGTTGTTAGATTCGGGTTTTAGTTTAAATTCGTGTTTTAAACAGAAGTTTTAGGTCTTTATGTTTTCTTTTCTTTAATTTTTTTAAAAAAAATTCGTATTTTTTCCATATACCAATCATAAGTTTACTTTAAATATAAAAGTTAAATTTTCCTATCTTTAGTGAGTACAATTTCCCTTAAATTCTATTACAAATTTTTGGTTAAATTATACCTAAATTGAGGATTTTTTATAACTATTTTTCCATCTTAGAAATTATGGAAATCTTCATTCCATTTTTTTAATTCCTAAACTAAAGATATATACATGTGGTTTTCATATAAAAATATTGAATCTAGATTTTTTATATCTACGTGGTTTATTTCTTTTGATATTAATTAAGTTTTATATATATCGTTTTCACTTTCAGAAAGCATTTTTATTAATATTTGATTATATTTTTTTTATTATATAAGTTATTTTTTTATTAATATTTATTTTTATTTTTTAGTTTATTTTTTAAAAAATTAATAAATAATGTTTTTAAATAGTCGAAATTTAGATTTATTTACAAAAGACTTTTCTTTTTAAGTATAAAAATTGTTTAAATTCAGAATAAAAATTATTTAAATTCAGAATAAACTTAATATGAAATATTAATACTATTTAATTTAAAATAAAAAAAATATAAATAAATTTAATATATATATATTATTTTTTTCCATAGAAAAAAACTACAATATACATACATACATATATATATTTTAATTTTTTTTTTTTTTTTTTTTTTGAATATTAGGTCTATTTAATATATGTTAATATATAAATAAATATATATATATAATATAACTCTTTTATTAAAAAATAACTGAAAATAAACAATTCTTTTTTTTTTAATTAAAAAAAAGCATAATTGTATTCTTTCTTAAATTCATAAATTATACTTTTATTTGATAAAATCTTTTTTATTTTTAACCAACTTATTAATAATAATATCATCCAAGTTATTTATTTATTAATTAATTTATCTAAAAAACTTAAAAAATAATAAAAATTAAAATAAATAAAATACTTTTTATATTGTTTAAACTTCAAATTATTATTAACCAATTTTATATCATCAAAGATACCTTATATTTTTTATTTACTTATATTAATTATTGATTTATTTTCTTAATATAAGCTTTAACTTTTCTTTTTTTATATATATTAATTTAAATATTCTTATTATTATTTGACATTATCCCTAACAATATTTTAATATACATCTTTATTACTTAAAAAATATTATTTTGTTTAAATTTATTATCTATTTAATTATTTAAATCTATAATTTTCTAAAGCTTTTTAAGCCATTTATTTAATCAAATATTTCCCATCATTCATATTTTAATAAAACACAAATTATTTTATTGAACTTTCAGGCCATAAATCTGTTACAAAACTATTTTTTTTTTAAATTAATTTTTTTATTTTATTTTTTTACAAAGAGCCAGCTTATTTTTTTTATTTTTATATTTAATTTAAAATAGGTTATAATTAAGGACATTCCTCTTTTTCCAAAGATTTAAAAGCAAAAAGTGAAAAAGTCTTTTTTCTCTAAGAAATTATATTCAATAATTTCTCAAATTATTATAACTTTTGTTTATTTTTTTTTCGAAATTTAACTTAAATTATTCTTTAGAAATTTAAGATGTAGGACTACAAAAAATTGCACTTTTAAATAATTTATTATTTTATTCTTTTGGAATTTATATTTTTTTAATTAGTTTTCAATTTTATGTAATGTTTATATTATTATTAGTTTTTTATTGAGATATTTTATTTTAAATCAAATAATCTTATTATAATTTTAAATGAGGAATGATTTATTTTTACATATTTTTATAATTTAATTCAAACTAAATATATTATTTTAAATTATTTTATTTGTTTGATAATAAATTTATTTTATTTTTTTTTCAAAAAAAACAAAAACAAAAATAAAAATAAACAAACAATAAATGAAAATTTTTATACATTTAAAAAAATAAAATAAATAAACTTAAAATTATTATAAATAATTTATTAGTATAATTTTAAAATTAAAGTAAGTAATAAAAAATAAAAAGTAATGAAAAAAAAAAAATTGTAAAAAAACATAATAAATATTTTATTTTTTTATATGAAAAAAACAACAATTAAAAAATTTGTTTTTTTTTTAGTTTTACTCAATCAAACTAATTTTTTTATTTTTTTTTTTTTAAATTTAAAAATTATATAATAAAATTATTAATTTATCTTACCATTTTTAATTAATTACTATATTTTTATATTAGAAACATAGACTTATTCGAATAAAATCTTATATTATTTAATAATAACAATAATATAATATAAATAAAATTAAATTAGATAATAATATATTTTTAAATAATAATAATAATAATAATAATAATATATATATATATATATATATATATATTTATATATAAATATATTTATTTTGATTTTTTTTTTTTTTTTTTTTTTTTTATAAAAAAAAAAAAAATCCTTACTTTTTTTTCAAAAAAAAAAAAAAAAGAAAAAATAAAAAGCCTAAAAAAATAAAATACTCTAATAATAAAAAAACAAATTATATCATTAAAAAAATGAATGTTTTAATGCTTCCTGACAAGAAATTCTTTATTTAGGATCTATAATTAGGCATTTTTTTACCAAATCCTTTAACAAATAATGTTCTGGTTTAATAATTTATTCAACTGTAATTAATTCCCTAACCCTTTCAATACTTTTTCGACTCGACGCATTCTTTGGCCAATCAAAATGTGTTCTATATTTTGAAAAATACTCGTCACTAACATTAAAATTTTAGCTAAAATGATCATGTTCTGCTCTATTCCCCATCCACTTTGGTATATGCCCACTAATTTTTTCTATCATGGCCAAATGCTCATAATTTTCATGCGTTGGAAACAATAATTCTCCTGAATAAAGTTCCATAATAATACACCCAATAGACCACACATCACTAATTTCATTCCATCTCATACATCCTAAAATAACTTCCGGAGCCCTATATTATCTAGTATTTATAATATCTGAATGATGTTCATTTTCAAATGTTGCCCCTCCGAAATCAATAATTTTAATTCTATCATTCACAGGTTCGTAATAGCATTGAGTTTTTGCCTAACTTTTATTTAAAGAACTTCCAAAATTATTATTATTATTATAATTATTGTTATTTTCTTACGATTAATAAGAAGTAGAAGGCGAAGATGTTTTTCCACATTTAATTTCACTTTTTTTTAATTCAGAGGATACTAAAAGTATATTCTCAGGCTTCAAATCAGTATGAGTAAGTTTCAATAAATGCAAAAATCCAATACTTTCTAAAATCTATTTAAAAAAGCTCTTTACATATTAAATTTTATATGGCACATAATTATTCTTTTTCAACAAATCAAATAAAGAAAGTCCTAATTTTTCAAAGCACATACAAAAATTCTCCTAGTGTTTAAACGTATTATATAATCTAACTATCCTATATTAATCTTCTGGATCCATCTTATTTATTTTCATAATTATATCACCTTCAGTTTATGCAGCTTCCACATATCTATCTACTGCTCGAATCACTTTCAAGGCGATAGTTTTATTGTTATTATGACTATCTACCACTTCAAATACTCTACCAAATGTACCATCGGATAAATGCTTTATTAATATATATCGACCATTATCGAATGTTTCACCTTTCTTATATTTGTAATGACCGGCGTCTTTTGAACGGTTTTTAGAATCGCTTTGGGCAGAATTATTTGACGAATTACTACTACTATTGCTACTACTTGAGCGACTATGACTGGCTTTTTTTTTTTTTTTTTTTTGATTTTTTTTTGATTTTTTTTTTTTTTACTATAACTTGATTTTTTTGATTTTATTTAGTGATTAGTACTGTATTTTGTATGGTTATTATATTTATCAAAATGACTTATTATATATTATAATAAAAAATAAAAAAATTATTATTTATTTAATATAATTAATTTTTTTTTATTCTAAATAATGACTTTGATTAGATAAAAATAAATAAATAAAATATTTTATATACATATTTTTTTTTTATAAAATTTAAAAAATATATGTAGTCGTATTATATTTATTTTTTTAATATATTGCCAATTATTAATATATATATATATATATATATATATATATATATATTACTTATTTCTTTCTATACTATCTCTTATATATTTTCTATCATGATTATGATGGTTATCATTTCTATAACGATAATTTTAATCCCTATTATAGTACCTATCATTATCATATTATCTATTATAATTATTTTTATAATATTTATATTCTCTTGAATCATATTTTTTATTAAAATTGTGCTTATCTTCATTATAATAATTATATGAATATCGCCTATAGCTTAATTAATTTTAAGGATAATATTTTATAAAATGAAAATGCTAATTTTTATATCGATCGTCAATTGTTCGGCTATTATTTTCATATTTTGTACCTTAATTATAATAGTCATAATTTTTTTTTTTTTAAACTGGTGCATATTATCTTCTATTATTATCATTATAATCTATTTTTTTATATTTAAATAAATGTATAATTTGTTTTTTCTTATTTATTTACTTTTATAATCATAATTTTAATCATAATATTTTTTATGACTTCTAGATCGGCTTCTGTAATATTTTTAGTAGTAATATCTTTAACTCATATTACTTTTTTTAATATATTTTTTAATTTTTTTTTTTTTTTATAACTATATATTATATTATTTTATTTCTTTTTTCTTAATTAAGTTAATTTATATAAAAAATGAAATTAAGGATTAAAAAAATAACTATATAAAAATAATTATATATGTATTTTCATTTAATAAAAAAAAAATTATATATTTTAATATAATAAATATATTTTATTGTCTCAATTTTTTTTATATTTTATGAATTTTTGTCTTTATTTAACATAAATGATTTTAAATTATGTATTATAAAAAAATATTCTGTTTGTATTTTTTTTTTATATAGGTTTAAATTCTTTTTTAAATATAAAAAAAATTGTATTTGAAATTTATTTATATACAATTTGTCCCCAAATGCACAAAATTTAAAAATATATTTTATTTTCTAAAATATTAGTTAATTTTTATTTTTTATTTAAAAATTTTAATATTTAATTATGTAAAAAAATAATTAAATATTTTATTCTTTTTTTTAAAAAAAATAAATATTTAAATAGAAAAAAATAAAATATATATTTTTTATTTTATTTAAGTTTACATATTTAATTAATTATACATGTATATATATTAATATTTTTTTTATATTAATTTATTTAAACAATAAAAATTAAAATAAAATTAAAATATAAAAAGAGCTAAAATAATACAAATATAAAAAATAAATAATAAAATATATATATAATATATTAAAAAATTAATTTAATATTATAAAATATATTAATTATAAAATAGCAAATAAATATGTCTGACTAAGAAGTTTAATTATACGTATCTGCAATAGCAAACCCAATAGCACCTCCTAAACTTGAAAAGAAAATATTAAAATTAACCAAGAAATGTAACTAAAAATTATAAAAAATGCTATAAAAAAATAAATAAAAATAAATAAAAAAAAGCCGTATCTAACAAAAACATAAAAAGAGGAGTAAAAGAAGTAGTAAAGGCAATAAGAAAAGGATCTACAGGGTAAATAATTAAAAAAAATATAAATATTAAATTTTATATTAAATTTAAAAAATAATAAAACAAATAAAGAGTATGTATTATGGCAGCAGATATATCCCCACCTGATGTTTTAAGTCATATTCCTTTAATTTGTGAAGGAAAAGATATTCCATATGTTTTTGTAAAATCCAGAATGGAATTAGGATAAGCAGCTTAAACCAAAAAGCCAACATCAATTGTTCTTTTAATCGCACCTTAAAATAATGATAAGTTACTTAAAAACATAATTCAATACATGCAAAAGTTAAATCTATAAATCCCTATTTTTGATAATAATACATATTAATATAAATTATATTAATTGAGTGTATTTTTATTGTATTTAACAGTTTTTTTTTTTTTATAATTTTTTAATTTTTTTTTTTTTTTTTTTGTAACAAAAAATAAATATTAAATGAAAAAAATAATTAAGTATTGAATTGTTTTTATAAGTTTAAAATTTTAAATAAATTTTATAATATTCTAAATTAAATTTATATAATTAAAATTATATTAGTTATTATTTATATAATACTATAGAATGTTTTTTTCTATTAAACTTGTAAATATTAATATAGTTGCTTATATTTTAAGTTTATTGAAAAAAAATCAAAATTATTATTAATTATTAAAAACTAACTTTTGATTGTTATAGTAATAGGATTCTTCTTTAAAATTATTAAATTAAAACTAAGAACTATTATCATCATATTAATTTAAATTTGCTTCACTTTATTATATTTTTTAAATTTATAATTAGTTTTAAAGTAATTATTATTACTATTACAACTATTATTATTATATTTATTATTATAAAATTTATTAATTATATATTTATTAATTATTATATTCTTATTTTTCTTTGTTTAAATGCCTTAGCCTTGTTTATGGATATTTTCTATACTTTATTATTATAATTTTTAATATAAAAACTAATAAATATTAGTTTAAAAAAACCTTATCAATATATTAATAAAATTTTGCTAATTATAAAGGATTCAAGAAATTAAAATTAATATCTAAAATTTCTTATCTTTTTTTAATTTATTATTGAAATTATACAATATTTTCAAGCAGGCTTTTTTATTTAAAAAAAATAAATGACATATACATATATATAAAAATAAAGAAATAAATATAGTTGGCTATTTACTTTTTAATATTTAATCTACTTTACATTAATTATTTTTCAATTTAATTAAATTTATTCAATTCAATTTCTGTTTAGATTTAAGTCATATCTTTAAATTTTTAGGCATATGTTATAGACATTTCATTTTCTTTATAATAAAAGGATATTTTTTATAAAAAAATATAATAACCTTATCTATTAGATTAATAACAAAAAATCAAATAAATCAAATAATCAGATAAAACAAAATTAAGTATTAAATTAAAGTGAATATTTATAGCTTTTTTTCTAAAAATCCCTTAACTTCCAATATTTAACTTTTTATTTTTTTAAAAAAATAAAATATTTATTTATAAGTTTATACTCTTATAGAGTCTTAAACATATTAAAGTAATTCAATATCAGTATTATCTTATTAAATTATATTTTTTATTTTTTAAAGATTATAATTTCTATCCTAAACAAAGGGTTTAATCTAATTTATAACTTAAGAATTAATAATTAAAAAATAAATATATAAAATATTAATTTTATATAAAAAAAAATTAAAAAAAATTAATATATATTAATAATAATACATAATCCTAAACTTCAAATATCGAGCAAAGTTATTTTTAATTAAAATCAATTTTTTTAATTTATTATTAAATTTAATCAGTTAAATCAATAGTCTTTATATTATTTTTAATATTATATAAAGACAAAAAAAAAAAAACCTTTTTTTCTAATAATTCAATATATATTTTTTTTCTTTATCTCGATCTTTTTGAAGCATCTCCGTTTTTGGAATATTTCAATTATTTTTGTTATATATTACAAAAAGAACTGACTGATTTTTTTTTATTATATATTTTTTTTTTACTAATTTATTTATCTCTTGTTTTTAATAAATTCATATTAAAAAAAAAATTATATATATAAATTATATTTATTTTACAATTAAGGAATTTCATATTTATATATATTAAGAAAATTCTAAATTTTTTTAATGTAAACATTTTTTACATTATTTTATATATGTCTTTTGTCAATTTATTTATTACTATTTTATTATTGGATATTATTTATATTATTTGTTGGTGAATAGTCATTTAGAGAAAGCTTTTATGCTGAATCTATAGAAATTTTCTTATATGATTATTTCTATATCTATTCTATAGTTAATTCTTCCTCTTTAGAAGATTTATTTTAAGATTATATTATTTTTTATAGGTTTAAAGGGTTTGATTTAATAATTTATATTATTTGTTATTATTATTGCCTTTTAAATTCTAAATCATTCATAAAATTATCCTATATAATATTAAGACTATTTTATTTTTATTAATACTACCCAATTACATTATTCAATTAAAAAAAATTTTAATTAAATTAAAATTATTATTAGTTCGTTTCTGGGAAAATATTCTCATATTAAATATTTTATAAATATTAAAAATCCTCAAATTTTATACATTCGTTAGATTGATTATTCTATTATAAAACTAAATTCATTTAAAAAGGGTCTTCATAATAATTTATATTGTTTATATTATTATTATTATATTAGTTCATATTTATATATTTATATATTTAATTGTTTTTTTTTTTTTTAAATTTTTTTTTTTTTTTTTTTAATTAAAAAAAAGTTAAAATATATAATTTTATTATATCACTTCTTATGTAAATAAATTAAAAAAAACAATTTATAAAAAGATCTAATATATAAATTATGTATAAATAATAATTTCTATAAATATTCTTATTATAATATAAAAATTAATAATTATTTTTTACTATTATATAATAAGTAAATATATATACATATACTGAGTCTAACATTGAATATAAATATTTTTTTTTTTTTTTTTATAAAAAAATAATCATAAAAATAAAATAATTTTATAATAAAAAAAAGTGAATATAATTTTTTTTTAAAAAAAAAAATAACAAAACATAAATAAAAAATATTATTTTATTTTATATTTTTTATTTTTTTTTTATTTTTTTCATAAAAAATCTTGAAATAAATCACTCATAGATCCAAACGTGGTTAGCAGGTTACCAATTTTAGAGTTCTTCTTACTTAAACCAGAGTTAAATTTCGTGATTAGCACTATCAACAGAGTCAGATCCGTGGCAAATATTTCTTCCGAGATCAATACAGTAATCTCCTCTAATGGATCCAGGAAAAGATGTCAAAGGATTGGTTTATCCGAGCATTTATCTTCCCATTTTGACAGCTTCTTTTCCTTCCCAGACCATAGCAACAACGGGTCCTGATAACATATAGGAAATCAAAGAAGGGAAAAAGGGCTTTTATTTAAGTTCAGCATAGTGTGCTTAGAGGAGTTCTTTGCTGGGTTAGAGGAATTTCATTGCAACCAATTTATAGCCTCTTTATTCAAATCTTTAAAGGATTTATCCTACTAAACCTCTTTATACACCATCAGGTTTAATCATAATAAAAGTTCTTTCGTTATTTGCGGACATATCTTCTTTTGTTTGTTTTTTATTTTTTTTTGTTTTTAAAATTTGTTATTTTAATTATAATTATTTATTTATTTTTATATAAAATGTATGAGTATATAAGTATTTTTTTCATTTTGTTCTTTATATTTTATTTTATAAAATATATTTATATTAATTATATCTTTATTTTTAATGTATAAATTTATATTTCTTCTTTTTTTTATATAAATGATTTAAAAAAAAAATTATATAATTTTTTAATAAACAAAAAGAAATATTTTCACTTTAAATTTTATTATTATGAGTTTGTTCAATATTATTAATACTTAAGTTTAAAAATAATAGCAATACACATTTTTAATAATATTAAATGATAATTTTATAAATTTCAAAATGATATTTTTATAATATAACTACCTTATAATGATTTATTTTAATTACATAAATATAGTAATATAATTCTATTCTTAAAAATTATATTTAAATAATGATTATATATATTTATATAATTAAATATATATATATATATATATTTAAATATTTTTTTATTTAAATGTAGTTTTTATAATTTTTATATTTATGTTTTCTTTTTTCAAATATATTTATTTATCTTATATTAATCAAAATTATATAATTTTTACATAAAAAAATAAATAAAGATTTTTTTATTTAATTTTTATAATTTTTTTTATTTTATTATAAATATTTATTAACTTCTTTTTTTAAAAAAAAAATAATTAAAATATTATAAAATAAAATGGATAAAATTGATAAAAAAAAGTCAATGAAATAGCCAAAAAAAATGTCAAATAAAGAGGTGTTTAATAATAAAAATATAATTCTATATATTTTATTTAAACTAACAAAAAAATTATATTAAAAAATTTTTTTTGTTTTAAATACAAAAAGATATATAGAATATTAGCATTTGAATTTAGATAAAATGATTAAGTAGGATTAAAAATTTCAATAATTTCTGAAATGGTTAGTAGTTTATTTTATCCAAATGATAAAACAGGCGAATCAAAAAATTAATTCAAGGAATTAATTGAAAAGGCATTTAAATAATATTCAAGAGGCAAAGACTAAATAACAGAAGAATATTTTTGCTAAGCCATGGTTTTTTTTTTCTTTTTAAAAAAAATAAATAAAAATAAATAAATAAAAATAATGTAAAAAAATTATTAAATGTAAAAATAATATAAATAAGGATTCAGTAGAATAATATATAAATGAAGATACAACAGAAAGGTTCCTTTAAAAAATATTTAGAAGACATTCAAAAGTCGATAAAAATTATCTAAATAAAGAGGGTTAATATATTAAATATAAATAGTTTAATTTATAACTTTTTATAAATAGAATTTAGAATCTTAATGTAAAACTATAAAGATGAAAACATTAGTGAAAAAGATATACAAGAAATATATGAAAGAATGTGTAATGGAGATAAAAACGGAATTTCATTTCAAAACTTTAAAAAATTCTCAATATGAAATAAATAATATATATATATATATATATATACATATATTTATAAATAATAATATTTTTATTTTATTTTAAGAAAATTTTTTTATTTATTTAATTTTAAATTAATTTTTATCTAAATTATTATTATTTAAATAGATTAATAAATATTTAAATAAAAATATAATAAATGCATATTATTTATTTATATTAAAAAAACATCTATAATACATATTATATCTATTAGAAAAAAAAATAAAAAATATTATTAATTTTATATAAAATAAATATATTAATAATTTAATATATTTTTATAAAAAATCTTATCAAAATAATTTTATATATAATATTTTAATAATATTTATGGAAAGATTTAATGAAATAAAAATTATTTATTGATATTATTAATAAAAAAAAAATCTATTCTAATAATTATATTAAAAAAAATTATGTATAGAATTATTCTGTTTAATTTAAACAAAATAAAATATCTATTAAATATTTTTATTTAAGAATAATTTAAATAAGAGTTCAAATAAAAATACTTTTAAGTTTAAATAAAAAATAGACATATTATAAAATTTATATTAAATACTAAATAAAAATGATAAGTAAATTATATTATTTAAAAACGGATAAAAATAGTGTAAAAAAAACAAAAATAAAATAAATATAGTTATTATGTAAATTTTTATTATAAAAGTCATATATATATATATATATATTTATTATTTTTTTTTATAAAATTATATAAATTCAATTACTTTATATATTATTCTAATTATTTTAAGTTTCACTTAACTTTTATTATATTTTTTAATTATCTTATTCTAAATAAATGTAATATAAAATAGAAATTGTTATAACTATAATAAATACATTAGTATAGTTTTATATATTATCTTTTAATTATTTAATTTTCTATTCTTCAATTTAAATTAATTAAGAATAACAATCTTCAATAAATTCTTATTCTTAATTTTCTCTTAACTTCATAATCGGTAATTGTAGCTAATCAAATTTATTATTTTTTAAATATTCAATATCATATTAACTTTAATGTTCTTTTAAAATATTTATTTTTCTTAACAAATTTTTATCTATTGTTTATCGTTTTATATATTTTTATAAAGTTCGACACCTATTTTGATTATTACTTCAACAATTTGAGCTTGACTTTTTTTATTTTAATTTAAATTAGATTATAATTATTAATATTAAGAAGTAGAAGAAGATGATAAATAATTTTTTTATTTTCATTTTTTTATTTTCCCTCGTTTTCGTCTAAATTCATATCTTTTTTTAACAAATCTTTTTCTTTTTGGTTAAAACCGAAATCCTAATTTTTAAAAGTTTCACTTTTTATAATATTATGATTTATATCTACTTTATCTACATTTATATTCTATTCCTTTAATTATTATATCATATTTATTTATTCCTTTTCTGATAATCCAAAGTCTTAATAACTAAATGACATTGAATTTTTGTTTTTTTATTGCGATATTTCTTATTCTTTTAGCTCCATATATTTTTTATAAAAATCATCGGATATACTTTATTGTGCAAATAAGTCTTTTTGTTCTTTTTCTGATAAACCAAAGTTTTAGTCTAAAAATGTGTTTTTTTATTCTTAACTAGAGAATTAGTATAAGCTTTTATTTTTTTAAATAATGAATTTTTTTAGATTATTTGAAATTTTTTTAAGGTTTTTAAAATTTTAAACATTTTTTTGATATTTTCCTTTTATTAATAATAAAAAAACGAGTTATTTTATATATTTTTTTTTGAAATAGATTTATATTTATTATGATTTTTTTTTCATTTTATTAAAAATATGATATATGATGGAATATAATAATTAATTTAATTTTAATAATTTCATATATATATTATGATTAAATACATTATAATATATATATTAAATATCTTACTTTTTATTACATTTATATAATAATTTAAATAATGATAATTATATTTATTCGTAATTAATGAATTAATAGATATTTAATATTAATTAAAAAATAATAATAAAATATATTTTTTTCGGTAATTATGTAATTATAAAAATTTTTAAAAAAAAAAAAAACTATCTGAACCTAACCTATTTAAAAATATTAAAATCTCAAAAAAAAAAAAAAAAAAAAAAAGTTAATATAAAAGAATTTTCTATTTATAGAAAAAGTTTTTTTTTTCACTAAATAAAATTATTTTTTAATTATATATTCTTTAAATCCTTTAAATATTATTTATCATCTCGTAAACAAAAAGACAGTTTAGTAAATAAATTAAGAAATATTGTATATTTAATAAAATCAATTTTTTAATATTTAGATATATTTCTTTTTGTAAGTAATAATAAACTATTTATATCTTTCAATCCATAGAGCAAAATAATATATATAATATGAAAATTATAATATATTAATAAGAACAATAATATTTATTCTAGATAACCCTAAAAAGTCTAGTATAATGATCGTGTTATTTATTTAGTATAATAAACAAACATATGGTACTCTAAAAAAAAAAGGCAATATTTAAAAACTTATAAGAATGAAAAACTCAAAGGAAACTAAAGCCCTCTGATAATAATACTCTTATGAAAATTTCACAATAATAAAAGCCTTGAGACGAGTTTGATTTCAGCAATATCAACAAAATACTAGTATTTTATAGCCGGGAAATATAATTTAAATAATTTATTGTCTATTATAATTTATTTTAAGCTATGTATTTACAATATATAGTATAGTATCTTTGTATTTTTTATATTTATTATTTTGTATTTATTTAATTTTGCTCAGGAAAAAAATATTATAATGATAATTAATATATTTATATGAATTAAAAAATTGTTAAAAATATCTTCTACTAATAATAACATAAAAATAAATATAAGGTATAAGAAATGAAGTTCATAATAAAAAAAATTAGGAAAATGTAATTGTTAATTTCTAAAAATTATAATAAACCTAAACAAAATTATAGAAAATAATACAAAATTAAAAAATAATAATTATAAAAAATATAAATGCTTTGACAAAAACACTATATAAAAACATAATATACATATATAAATTTAAATAAAAAATACAATTAATACATAAAAAATAATTTAAATTAAAAATATAATTAAATATAACTTATAAAGTATAAAAAAAAGGATTTAAACATAATTATTATATAAATATTATAGAAAAAATAGACGAAATTATATTTATTATAAGCAATATTTTTGATATTAAAATATATAAAAAAATTAATTGTATATAAAATATTAAATTATTTATATTTCAAAAAAAAAAAAATATATATATATATATAAATATATATATATATATATATATATATATATATATATATATATATATATATTTATAATATCTTTTTTTTCATAAAAAAAAATCATATATTATTCCAATTTTTTTATTTACTTTTATCAATATCTAATCCTTCCTAATTAGTTTATTTTTATTATTAATCTAATAGATATTCTTTAATTTTAGATTTTATTAATAAGTCAAATTCCAATGTTCCTTTTCTTCTCATATCAGTAGGAACATGATTCGGATTTTTATAAAATTCCCTAAAATTTCTTAATTCTAAAGAAACTAATTTCTAAATACCTTCCATAAAATATGGAGTTAGATCAATTTCAAAATCTCCTAAAAATTTTTCCTTTCTATAATAAAATAAAAATGTTTAAAAATTATTTTATAATAAAAAAAAAATACTCATTTTTAGTTTAATACAAAGCAATATACATAATTTTGGATTTTCTTAAATCTTTCAAATAAAAAAACTCATTTATGACTGATTTCGCAAAATCATCATATAATTCAGGAGTAGTTCTTCTACTTTACCTAATTCCGGCTTTAATTTCCAAAAAATACTTCTCATATTCACTATTTTAAGGTAAAAATTAACAAACTAAATATCTTTTACAGTCATTAATAAATGTACTCTTTAATTCATTAATTCATCGTCATCAGAATCAAAACCATCATCAATTACATTTTCTATTAGTTTTTTTTCTTTTATCTTTCATATTCGATTTCTTTTTTTCTTTTAAAACATGAAATCTTAAGATTTTGTCACCAAAAGATTTATTTTTCTAATATTCATCGTTTTATTTTTTAACGGATATAACTGGAGGTAATTTAGATATTCGATTTGCTAAATTCAAATTATCTATAAGTATTCTTTTATCTTCTTTTTTTTTAAAATTTGACTGGTTCCAATTATTTAACTACCTTATTTTAATTTATATGATGTACTTATATTTACTTAAGATCTAGATATATTATTATTATTAATATCAATATTATTAGAAACATAGTTTATTGTTTTGCCATTATTTGATAATGAACTACGATTTTTAACTCGGATACTTTCAATACTACTATTAAGTTAATTTGTATTATTATTGTTGTTAGTATTATTATTATTGTTATTTGTATTATTATTATTGTTATTTGTATTATTATTATTTGTATTATTATTATTATTATTATTATTATTATAATTATTATTATTATTATTACTATTATTATTATTGTTTAATTTTTTATTATTATTATTGTCATTATTTATAGTTTAAGAATTTTTTACATTATCTTATTTATTATTTTTATTTATATTATTTTTAACGCTTTAAGATTATTGATTTTCTATAATTTATATTATATTATTACTTTTGATATTTTAATTATTAGTATTATTTATATCCATTATTTTTTTAATAATGCTTAATCACTTACTTATTATTTTCTTAGCTTTTCTTAAATTTAGAATTTTTGTGCTTTCTCATGACTAGCTTTGCTGATTCTTATTCTGTTTGGATTTGTTTTATTTACTTTTTTAATTCGGTAGGATTATTTTTTATTTCTTCTAGTCTTTTTTGATGACTTTTAAATTCACGCTATTAATTTCTTTCTAAGTAAATTCTTTTTAAAATAAATCTATCAGCTTTCATTTTTAAAATATTTTATTTTTATTTTTTATGTATATATATATAAATTTTATTTTCAACAATTTATTATATTTTTAATTTTTCTTTTATGGACTGTTTTATTTTTTATTTATTATATAAATATATTAATAAATAATTATAATATAAATAGGTATAATAATTTATTTTGTTTGATATATATTTATTTATGAATAAATTTAATGATATTAAAATAATATTATATATAAATATTTATATATTTATATATTTATATATTTATATATTTATTTATATATATTTTTTAATATTTTATTATTTATTAATTAAAATTTTCATATTAAAATTTATAAATAAAATTTTAAATTTATCATTAATCTTAATGAAATTTTATCTATAAAATTAATTAATTCATTATTCTTATAAAATCCTAAAATTTTTTATGTAAAACAAATACTTTACTAAAAAAAATTTAAATAAATTTAAATTAATTTATAAATTAAAACTTAACTAATATATACATTTAAATTTTTAATTTTTTTATATTTTTTATTTGTGTTTTTTTTTAAAAAAAGAATATTTATTAAAAAGAATATATAAATTCTATATATATAAAATATACACATTTATATATATTTTTTATAATTATTATTTTATAAAAAAGTAAAAAATGAATATTAAAAAAAATTAAAAAATAAATAAACAATATAAATATATATATATATATATATTTATATAATCGACTTTAATTGTGTTTATTATTATTTTTTATATTTTTCAAATAAACTATTAATTTATTTTTTTCAAACATCTTAAGAAGCTTATCCAGTTTCTGACTTTTTAGTTTTTGAAGGTAATAACATTGGGTTAATGTTTGGTAAAACACCACCATCAGCAATAGTAGTATTTGACATTAATTTATTCAATTCTTCATCATTTCTAATAGCTAATAAAATGTGTCTTGGGACAACTCTACTTTTTTTGTTATCTTTGGCAGCATTTCCGGCTAATTCAAGTACTTCAGCAGCTAAATATTCTAATACTGCGGCCATATATACAGGGGCTCCACTTCCTACTCTTTAGGCATATCTTCCTTATTTTAAGAATCTTGAAAGTCTTCCTACAGGGAATTAAAGACCAGCTCTGTTAGATCTTGATACTTATTTAGAAGATGCAGTTTTTCCTTTGGCTTTTCCACCTTTTCCGGCTGTGTTCATTTTATTTTTGGTTTTTGTTTTTTTTTATTATTTTATTTTATTTAATATTTATTATATATTTATATAGCTTGCTTTATTATATTTTATTATTAATAAAAAATATATTTATCCGATCTTTTTATTAATTATCCAATTAAATATTTTTTATTTATTAAATTTGGATATTAAATAGATATATTAAATAATATTTATATATATTTAAATTAATTAATTATTTTAAATTTATTTTTTAGCTCCAAAAATTTGATCTTTATTGATTTTTTTTTATAATATTATAAATGGCAATTTATTATATATATAAAAAAGGTAAAATATTATTAAAATAAATATATTTATTTTCTAATAATTTTCTTTTTAAAATATATATAATAATATATATTATATTTAATATTTAAATAATATTTATTTATATATACATATAAATATATATATATAAGTAATTTAATAATTCTTATATTTAAAAATAATATTAATTTTATTTTACTCTAATTTTCTTAACTATTTAAAAAAATAATATTATTTTTTATTTAATTTTATTTTCTAAAATAATTAAAATATGTTATTATTTCTACTTTATTTTAAAAATTAAAAACATAAAAATAATATTATTTAAAAAATAAAAATAAATTTAAATTATATTGATAATAAACGAATATTTTTTATTTATAAGTTTTATTTATTTATAACATTAAGAAAAAATGGCATAAAATAATTAATAAATTGGATAAATTTAAGAATAAAACAAATTATAAATAAATTTTGTAAATGAAAATTAACAAAATTAAATATATCGATATAAAAGCTAAACTTATTAAATAAATTAAGAATTTATTTCTTTCAAAAAAAAACAATTTCTTTAAGATGAACAATAAAAAAAATATATTGAAAACATTTGTGAATAAGAAGATGAAAACAATTAATAAAACAATAACGATAACGATAATGATAATAATAATGATAATAATAATGATAATAATAATAAAGAAATTGAAAATGAATAATAAAAATATATATCCAATATTACTTAAATTACCAAATCAGAAAAAATATAAAAAAGAATCTAATTTTATTTATAAAACGCGAGTTTCAATTTAAAAAATAATCCAAAAATAGGAGACGTAAAAAAAATATATAGAAATATTATTTTATTTTATTTAAAAAAAAAAGCTTTGTATTTAAATAATGCAAAAACCTAATAAAAAAACAATATAAGAAATTCATTTTTTATAAAAATAAATTTCCGAATTATAATTATTCAAAGAAAACAACATTTCATTCGTTCAAAATTGTTTTAATTAATTTCTTAAACATTTTAAATATGTAAAATTATTTAAACATGATAAAGTTTTTAATTTCGGTTTTTTATTATTTTTTATATTTAAATATATATATATATATATATATATATATTTTATTTTATTTTTTCGTAATAAAAGGAGAAGAAGGAAGTGATTTTTATATAATTTTAAAAGGTTTTTTATTTCTTTTATATTTTAATTTTATTTTTTTTATATATAAAAAAATAAGGTTAAGTGTGTTGCTTGATCCCTGATAATAAATATGTAGATTAAATATTAAAAGAATAATAAAATATAGAAAATCAAAAAAAGAAATAATAATTTATGAATTAGCTAAAAAATGTTTTATCATATATTAAATAAATATATTGGTATATTTTAATATATAAAAAAATAAGTTAGATAATTTTTAATTAAATAAGCTAAGAAGAAACACGATTTTTATTTAATACTTTAATAGAACAAAATAAAAAAGATTAATAAAACAACTTAAAAATCAAAAAGCTATTATGAACTTTGCATTATAGATAAAAATTCCCCAAAAATAAATAAATAATGCAGTTATTGATAATAAAAACTTCGAAAACGACTTATAATAGTATAAAAACTTCTTTTTTTTTCATTAATATTTATTTTTAAAGTATAATATTTATAGTATAAAAGAAAAATTAGATATTAATTTAATAAAAAAGAAATATTATTAATATAATATAAATTATATTTATAATTAAGGAGATACTTTTGGAGAGATAGTATTAATAACATAAGAAAAAAGGTAATTTGTTTTTAAAAAATATAAATATAAATAAAATATAAATATAAATATAAATATAAATATAATATATATATATAATATATATATTTATTTATATATATCTAAATACATATTTTTATTTTATAAAAAAGAACAACTACTATAGTATGTTTATAAGATAGTCATTTTCTAATGATAAGTAAATAAGAATTTGAATTCTTATATGGTTTACACTAACAATAAGAAATAAATGAAAAGTTAGTTTTTTTATAAAGTTTTAATTTTCTTAAAAATATTGCTCCAAAATAAATGAATGAATTATTAAAAGAATTTTAAATAAAAAAATATCCTCCAAAATCAATAATTTATTAATAAGGAGATTGTATTGATGGTGTTTATTTTATAAAAAATGGTTAAGTGGAACTTTAAAAAACGGTATTGATTGAAGATAAATAATTAAAAAAAGTAAAAAATTAAAATGAAGATATATAAAATGACATTAATTATACTATGAAATAAAAACAAAATTCTTTAAGAAAAAAAAAATAATTATTAATGTAATTGATTAAAATTAAATATTTGGAGAATTGGAAATATATCTAAAAAAAGATGTAAGATAACATAGTGTTTAAGTTAAATAATAAGCAGAAATATATTTCGTAAAATATGAAGTAAAAATATATATTTAATATATATAAAATAAATTATAAATATATTTCTATAAAATATATATAAATTTATTTAATAAAAATATTTATAAAATATTTATAATATATTTATTGATTAATATATTTAAATATGTATTATATATTATATTTAAAATATATCAAATATATTATTTTTTAATATATTAAATTTTAAATTGATTTATAAATATATTTATATATAATATTTAAATTAAAATATATAAAATTTATTTTCTTTATTTTTTATAATAATTTTTTAAGTTATATAAAATATATTTAATTAATATAATTTTTTTTTTATACAATATATTATATTTTCTATATATACATATATTAAATTAAGTTATTTATTTAAACAATATTTGATGAAAATTCTTTAAATATTTTGAATTAGTAATCCTAGTTTAAATAAGATTGGTTTCATATTTAATATTTTATATTTTATATATTTCTCATAAATTATTTAATAAAATAATATTTTATTAATAATTTAATAATATAAATTATATTTAATATTATTTTTTTTTATTTAAGGTATAATTAAAGAGAAGACTTTATTATTAAGAATACAAATTAATTTTATTTAATTTAAAAATAAAAAATAGAAAAAATATAAAAAAATAATTAATTTTTATAATAATTTAATCCTAAAAATATTTTATTTATTTAATAATAACAATAATAATCATAATGTAATTCTTCAAAGACTCTAACAAATAAAGGTGAACGTTCTTCTTCATTTAAATCGTCTTAAAAAATATTGAATTTAGATTATACAAAACAAACGTATATTATATAATAAAATGAAGAAAAAGAAATACAAAAAAAAACAAAATATTTAGAATAATAGGAATAATAAACAAAGAATAAAGTAATAATATTAATATTTTTATATAAAAAAATATGTATATATAAATAAATAATAGCTTGAAAATTTATAAATATTAAAAGATTATGAATAAAAAATACTTTAAACAAATATAAAATAAGATAATAAAAGTAAAAATAATAATAAAGTTCCAATAAATATATTTAATGACACCTTATTTTTTTACCAAAATTAACAATTGCTTTAAAAAAAAGAGAAACTATTTTTAAAAAATTCCAACATTATTAAAAATAAATCCATATCTTATTTAAAAAATAAGGAAGAAAATAATGTATAATAAAATTAAAAATATTAAATATTATAAAATTTATAAAATTAACTTAAAATATAAAATTTTCCATAATAAAATAAAAAATTTAAACTATATCATATCTATCAAAAAGTTTATTAAAAAATTAATGACAAATAAATAACTAACGAAAAGATATTAATCAATAAAAATTAATATTAAAGCAATTCTAATGAAAAATAATAATAAAAAAAAAAAATAATAAATAAAAGAATGTGTAAAAGTTCAGATTTTAGATAAAAGAATATAGATTTTTAAGATATAGTATAAAAATAAGAAAAAGAAAATAAGAACAAAATATTTGATTCTTTTTATGAAAATAAAAAAATAAATGAGCAATAATAATAATAATAATAATAATAATAATAATAATAATAATAATAATAATAATAATATTTAAATAACAATAACTCGATTTTTTTAAATTTATAAGATTAAAATAAAATATTAGGAAAAAAATAATCTAATTTTATTTAAAATTAAAATAAAAAAATAAGATTTTATTCTTTAAATTTAAAAGAAGTGTTTTAAAAATGTGAATTTTCAAATATAACTATTTAATAAAATAATTAAGATATTAATTCCTAAAAAAATTAGAAAAACTTTGATATTAAAAGTTAAAAATATATATATGAATCCAAAAATATTTCTTCTCATAATCAAAGAATAAAAGAAATACATAAAAGATTATAAAAACTAAGCAAGAATTATCATTTATTAAAAAGCCATAAAATTTCTACAGATAGAAATATGTATTAAAATAATATTTATAAAACGTTGCTAAATGATAAATCAATTAAAACTTCTAGAAGTAATTATTTGAAAATTATATTAGATAATTCCAAAAACTAATATAATATAAAAAACTAAATTAATAATAAAAATAATAAAATAATATACAATAATAAATTAGTAAAAAACTAATAGTTAATTTGAATAAAAAAATATTATTTAAATTTAAAAAAATAAAATAAAACATCATATTAATAAAAAATGAAATAATTATATAATTTTTATTTCTATATATAGTATAATCAATAAAAAAATATATAATTTTTAATTAATAATAATAAAATAAATTATTTATATATAAGTATATATATATATATATTTTTTTTTAAAAAAAAAAAATTATTTTTTTTTCTTTATATTTAATTAAATTTATAATTTTATTTATTTTTAAAATTCACTTTATTTATTTATACAAAAAAATAACTTTTATTAATTTAAACAAACTATTATAAATTCATTATTAATTTATTAAATATATTTAGTACTCTTTTATTATATATTAGAACAAAAAAACAAAACAAAAATATTACTCATTTATCATAACATAATTCTAAAGAAGATTAATTTTTAAGGTATTTCTTGAACCATTTAAATCTTTTATCACAAGCTTCGATTTTAATAGTGCCTTTATAAATACTACATACATAAATAAGTAAATCTTCTTATGCGGCTTATTATTCTTCATCATTATGAATTCCATTTACTATAATCCAAGGCACAAACTAATGCTTAGGACTTAATTAATCAGTTTTCTCTCCGGCCTTAATAACTAATTATTTGCCTTCATCAGAAGTCAAACATTATTAAATACTTCCTTAAGTTTATTATGCTATTTATAGTTCTATATAACAATCTTGTAATGTTTTATTAAAATCTAATTAATTATCTTCTATTTTATTTTCTATACAATACACAAACTTAATATTTTTGGGATATTCGAGTTTAGAAAGTACACAATTTTCAATTAAATTTCCATAACATTCATTTTCTCCGTGTTAGCACGTAATATTGCCTTAAGAATCTTTTTTAGCATTTCCATATGGCACTAATTCTATGTCTAAAATTTTTAATAAGTCTTTTGTATTTAATGTTATTTAAATTTATGAATTTATAAATTCACGACAACCAGGACATAAGGATTCGAAATATAACTCAACTTTTACTTTTTGGTCATCTTCTTTAAATTGGAAAGATTAAATTATTAATAGAGATAAAAATAGTATTTTAAGCATTTATATTTTAAACAACTAATTTATAATTTTTTTGTTATTATTATTATATTTAATAATTATAATATTTTTTTTTGGAATATTAAAATTTTATATTTAAATTACTGTTTTTTTTATTGTATATATATATATATATATGTATTCAATAAATAAATAAATAATTATTTTTATTATTTTAGTTGGTTTTTAATATTTTATATAGATAAATTCTATATTTTATTATTAAATTCGTTATTGTTGTTTATTATAAATAATAATATTAAAATTCATAACATAAATATTCTTATAAATTAAAAAAATACAATAAGTAATTTTTTGAATAAATATATATAATAATGTTTTTTAATTTATATATAAATAATATAGAATAAAAAAAAATAGAAAAAAAAAAAAAAAACTATATTAAAATAGATAAATACAGTTATTTCAAAACCAAATAATTTATAAATAAATATTATAATAACAATAGAAAATAAGATATATATAAAAAAAACATATTTAAAAATGATATAATCTTTATATATCATTATTAATAAATATAAAAACAATTATAATATATAATACTAATAAAAACATCAAAAAATCATTAAACTAAATGATTATATTCCCAAACTCCTTTTAAAAATACCTAATTTCCTTTATAAAAAGTCCCTTATCCATGTACAAAATCATTTTAAAAATTGCCTTAAAATCTATCACCATTAGACAAATAAATAACTCCCTAACCTTCTTTATTATCATCTATAAAATCTCCTATTATTATACATAAAAAAAAACATATATATAAAAAAATACCTTCATATTTATCCCAAAACTCACCTAAATTATCAAAATTACTAATATCAAAATCTCCATCTATTTAAGCAGGTTATTCATTATATACAGTTCCATTTCCATTAAATTAATCATTTTTCCATTATCCCATATAAGCTAAAGCACCTGAAGGATAATATAAAGTTCCCATACCTTCCATTCTACCTTTAACCCATACACCTTCATAATATCCACCATCTGCGTAATAAAATTTACCTATTCCATGCCTTAATCCATCTAATTTTTCGCCTATATAATATGAATTATCATCATAAATTTCATGTGTATTTTCATAATTATCTTTGTGTTATTTAATAAAAATATTATAAATATATAAAAAAATAAATACGATTTTATTAAATTGGAAGTTATTATGTGTTATTAATTTTTAATTATGATAATTATAAAGGTTAATGTTATTAAATTTTAATATTTTAAGAATTTTGAGCCAATTATTAAATAGGAATTTATTATTATTATAAAGGAACTTATGTTAATAAAGGAATTTATTATTAATATAAAAGAACTTATTATTATTAAATAGGGATTTATTATTAAATAGGAATTTATTATTAAATAGGGATTTATTATTAAAAAGGAATTTATAATGAATCTATTATATTATAAGACTGTTTATTAGATGGGAAATAAGGTTAATTATTAATAAAATTATTATTATTATCTTTTTAATATAATAAATTTGAATTTAATTTAGAAACATTATTAATAAATTATTATTATTAATTGATTTTGAATTAAAACATTATATTATTATTATTATTATTATTATTATTATTATTATTATTATTATTATTGATAAATGTTATACACTCTAATAAGAAATATTATTTTACTATTATAATTATTATTACATTTGAGGTATATTCAGAATCGATTATTATCTTATAAAGGTACATTTATTTTTTAATTATCTTTTATTTCATTTATTATGTGAAAAATTTCTTCAGGCATTTTATATTAACTATTATTACTATAATTACTGCTATTAGTATTATTTATATTATTACAAATATTTTAATTATTTTTAATATTACAATGTTTTATTTAATTAGTATTAATTTTATCATTTTAACTTAATAACTTATTTGAATTTTAAAATTTTTTATCACGATTATACAATTAATTTTCTGTGCTAATTTAATTTTAATCTAAATTTTAAAAAGTATACTACTCTTTATAATTTTCATTTAAAAAACTATTTTTTTCTTCATCTATCTCACTTTCATCTTCCTCCTAACCATTCTTATACAAACTTACTCCTAATCTTCCCTACTATTATTATTATATTTATAATTAATACCCTCCATTAATATTTAAACCTCTATTTTAATCCATCATTAATTAGATTTATATATGTATTTAATTCATAAAGTTTTAAACATTGAATGCCTGAGCTAACTAAATAAAATCTTCCCTTTAATTTTCTTCATAAACAGTCATTCTCTATATCAACGAAAATACTTCGTTTCCATAAATAGCCTTAATTTTCAAAAGATAATCATTTAAAACTCCCAAATTGAACTCCCCATTTTCATAACAATACAATTCATCACAAAAGTTCAAAAAGCAACACTCAATAAGAATTACCCCTAAAGTAAAAACATCAGACTTAAATGGATTATGTACTGGATGATAATTTTTATTAAAAACTGCATTTACAAGCAAAGGAGAAAGATATACTCCTTTAGTCTAAAAATCTGTCTAAGAAATCATCTTTAAATAAGAAGGTATTATTTTATTGATAGAAGGATGCAAAAGCTTTACTTCAAAAAACTCAGAGACTAAAATATTAAAAGTATTCAAATCCCCATAAGCTAGATTAAATTTTTACAAATTCGACAATGCGTTTATACAAGAAAAAGCTATAATATAAATCTCCTATACTTAAAATCTCTAATTCTATAATTTCTTAGTTTTAATTTCTACTTATAAGTCCCTTTATAAGTACTCTAGTATAATTTACATGCGTTAAACACTACTGCATAATTATTCTTCAGATAATATAAAATATGCATATACATCTATTATATTATTTGTAGTATTTTAATCGTGGTTTATTTATGTTAAACACTTTAATTCTTACATTATTTATTATTCTTTTTGTAATATATGATGTTCTTAGAATAATGTTTCTTTTAAAACTAATTTTTTGCATTTTTGGTATAATAGAGGCTTTTTTTTCTTCTCAGGCTATATTTAGGAGAGATTTTCAAATATTTTTACTTCTCCATAATGCTAGTCGGAGGTTTATTCTTGTTCTTGGTAGTATTTTTCAAATTCGAGAAAATCTTGTTAACCAATTTAACCTTGTATTTATCCCATTATTAAATTTTTTTATATAAATATTTCTTTCTTTTTATATATATATTATTTTTTAAATATTAATATTTATTTGTTAAAAATTAGTTATTTGTTTGATTATTTGATTAAATTAAATATTTTTAAAATTTTATTTAAATTTACTTTGTATTTTTAAAATAAATTAATTTTAATTAAACTTTAATTAATCTAATATAAAAATATTATAAATTAAATATAATACTTTATTAATGAAATAATAAATAATTGCTAAGAAAAATATATTTTGATAATAAAAAATATAATATATATTTAAAATTTATATAAATAATCTGTTAATAATATAAAAATACATATATATATATATATTTATAAATAGTAAAATTAAATATATATATATATATTTATTTTTTATTTTAATAAAATTTAAGTTAAAAATCTAAATAAAATATTTTATATTTTTTAAATATATAAAATATATATATTAAAAATAATAAAAATGAATATAAATAATTATTTTTAATACTAAAAAAATAAAACATATTTAAAAAATGATTTAAAACCAAAGCAATTTTAAAAATAATCTAAATTAAATTCATCATCTAGTAGTATAACATCTTCTGAATACGAATAAAAGACTATAAATCAAAAAATGATTTAAAATAATCAAAAAACCTAAAATTTAAATAATCCTATAAATTTAAGCATTTCTTCTTAAGAATCAAGTTCTTCAAGAGAAAAAATTAAAAGTTAATCTTCATCATATGAAAAAGACGAGAAAATATTTAAAAATAGCAAAAAATAAGATTACAATTCTTCATCTTTAACTGAAAGTAGTGATATTAGTTCTGAAAATTTCTAATAAAAATACAAAAAAAAAAAATCTGTTTCTTCTAGCAAAAGTAGTTTAACTTCTAATTATATATAAAGCTCGGATATGGAATAAATAAGCTCTTCTTAAAAAAATTAAAAAAAAAATTATTCTTCTTAAGAAAGCTCTTTTTCTAATTAATAAAATAATTAAAAAAATAATAAAAATTCGACTTCTTCTTTTTCTTCTTCTTCTTCTTTTTCTTCTTCTTCTTCTTTTTCTTCTGTGAATAATTAAGACAATTAAAAATATATAAAAAAAAGGATATAATCATCTTCATCATCGATATCAAGTTAAGAAAGTAAAAAAAAGAAAAATAATTAAAATTTATATTAAAATAAATTAAACAATAAAAATAATAATAATACAAATAAAATTATTAATAATAACAATTAATATAAAAATGGTGATAATATAAGTAATTCTTAAAAGTAAATTAAAAGCGCTATTAAAAAAATGAATAAATGTTTTAAAGAAGAAAAAAATAATGAAAAAATAAAAAATAAAATAAAAAATATAAGAATATGAATATTAAATTATTAAAAATTTTATATTTTTAATATATTTCTTATAATTTTTAAATGAAAGTAAAAATTAAAATAGATTGTTTTATATTACATAATAAAAAAAAAAAAAAATAATAAAAAATACATAAAAGAATATATATATTAATCATAAATATATATATATAAAAATAAAAACTTATAAATAAATCATATAAAAAGTATAATATATATATATATATATATATATATATATATATATTAATATATTTCTATATTTAAATTACATAATTATATTTGTATATATTTCTCATTTCAAGTATATATATTAATAAAACACCTTTTTTTCTAGTTAATAATTATAAACCACAAAATCATAAAATTATTAAAATAAATATGATCGCTAGCAGCTTTTTCTATAATTCTAATACAACAAAATCTTAAACATATTATTGCAATAGTAGAAGTAATTTAACAAATGTTTCTGCTAAATTTGCAGGTTGCGGAGGAAGTAACTATTTATACATATTTATATATATATATTTATTGTATCCAAGATTCTTCATCTATAGCAGCAAAAAGATTAAAAATTTAACCAATATTAAAAAAAACTGGCATTTATTAGCCTAAAAATTTTAATTCTCATGAAATTAATAAATTTACAAAACATTTTTTAAGGGGTGATATTCCTATAGCCGTGAATTTTATCGGAACATAGCGAAAAGTAAAGAATTTTTTAATTTTAATATTTTATTTTTATATTATTTTATTTTTTTTTAAAAAAAAGATATAATGGAAAATAGATATTGAAAAAATTGATTATCATAGAAATTTGCCTTTATTTTTTGAAGGTTTAAGAGAAGTTAAAGAGCCATATAATGTATAAATAATCATATATATATTTTTTTTTTTTAATAAAAAGAAATAGTTTTTATCTGATGCAGGTTGTGATTTTTTACTTGAAAACGGAGGAATGAAAACACTTTCTGTTTTGCCTTAATTAATTGGACCAATAAAAAGTTTTTTTTATTTTATTTTTTTCCTTATATATTTTTTTGTATTTATAAATAATTATTTTTAAATTAGATGCTTTAGAAACTAAAGATCATGCCATAATGTGCAAAACATTAAAAAAAATATAAAAATTAGTTATTTCAAATAAATATATAGGAGAAGCATTAGTTTCTTATTATAGTTTTTTTTTTTTTTTTTTATAAAAAATATTTTATTTGTTTTTTTTTTTTTTAACAAAAAATAAGAATAAATTTTACCTATTCTGAATGTTTTTAAAACACATAGATGTAAAAATTATAAAAAAAAGAACAAAAAACTATAGATAATTAAAATAAAAAAATTTAAATAGTAAATTATGGAATCCATAATTAAAGCCTAGGTGATTTAATATAAGAAACATTAGAAATTCTAGAAAAAAATGGGGGAAAAGAAGCTTATGCAAATATTAAATATATGATTCCAACATATGAAAGTTGTATATCTTGAAAAAAAAAAAAACATAAAATATATATATATATATATATATAATTTAATATATACATAAATATATAGGTATTTTTTTATTTATATATACAAAAAAATAGTTAATATTTATAACTAATTTTCCATTAATAATAATTATAATAATCAACAAATATTTTAAATTATAAAATTAACTCTATATCCAAACAAAATATCACCAAATCCAGGTACAATAGAAACATAATCATTTTACTAAAGTCCTATAAATTATTAAAATTAAAGATTTAGAATATTTTTATGAATACAATATCCTCTTTCAATTTAAATATTATTCAAACTTTAATTATATAAAACATATTAAATTTTATCTTTTTAAATATTAATTCTAAAATTGCAATGATTTCTAGATATTTTTTTTATTGTCTCATAGCCTTCTTTATTTTAAAATCTGTTTTTAAACAAACTTCTTCCTATATCATAAAAAATAACCTAATTCATCCAATTATGTTATTCCCAATCTATATTTTTTTTAACTATAAGCAAATGATTTTTAATAAAAGACAATTTTTCGAAACTTTAAGTTTCATAATTTATCATAGGATCTATAAGTGGGAAAGCTTTAAAACTTAAAATATAAAAATTGTATTCATCAAATGAACTTTTAAACTCTTCATATATAAATTTTCTTAGTTTTTCTTCTCGAGCTTATGTAGGGAGTCCTTTATATATATTATATTCGCCTAAAATAAAGGCTATTCGGCTATTTTCTAATTATTATATTTAAAAATTTTCAGTTTGGAATATTTCTTTGTTTTCGAAAGAAAAATTAGGAAATTAAAATACAATTTTTTACTAGAATTAAATCTCTTTAATTTTTTTAAAAATCTCTTTTTTTTAATCATATTCGTTTATATATTCTTAATTAGAAATCGCAAATTTTTATTTACATAAACATAATTTTATTTTTTATATTAAGTCCTATATTTATAAGCTTTTCTTTAATATTTTCTCATCAGTTTTATTTGATGAAAATATACCTAAATATCTCACTTTATTATTATCGTAATTTAATATTTCTGTCTACTTTTATTCCATTAATATAAGAAATTCCAAAATAATGTAAATTAATTAATCTTTTATATCAGTTTATATTACATTTTCTATTAAATATTTTTTACTTACTAAATCTAATACTTTCTCTGTGTCTTTATTTTTTTCTAGATCATTTTTAATATTTTAGTAATCTAATTTCTAATTAGAATGGTATAATATGTCCTTTAATTCTTTCATAATTATGTAAAAAGTAATTTATTAATCATCCTTTTATTAAATTGATTTATAGTAAAATTCTAATTCGCTTATAAATTCTGTAAAAGTAGTATTATTTTTTATATATGTTACTTATTTTTTAACCATTATTTTTTTATAATAAAATTAAATTTTTATTAAAAATATAATTAATTATTTTTTGTTTAACTTTTTTTTTTTTTTTTTATTAATTAAATAAAAATCTTTTGTTAATGTAAATTTTTAAAATTTATTTTAATTTTTTACGAAAAAATAAAAATTATTTAGTAAAAAATAAAATAAATTTTAATAAATAAAAAAAAAAATGTAATAAATATAAAAACGCATATTTGGTAAAATAAACGACACTGATATATACGAATTTATCTTAACAAATTCCTAAAAGACCTAAATACACTTAATAAACTACGGTGCAACTATAACTCAAATAATAACTCCTGATAAAGACAATATATCCTAAAATATAGTCTTAAATTATCCGAATTTCGATGAATATACAAAAAATCCTTGTTATTATGGATCTTTAGTTGGGCGATGTGCTAATAGAATAGATTAAGGGAAATTTAATTTAAATGGAAAATAATATTAATTAACAAAAAATATAGGAGATAATCATTTACATGGTGGAAAAGAAGGTTTTCATAAAAAAATATTTCAGTATGAAATAATTTCTTAAGAAAATAAAATAATTATGCACTATACTAGTGTAGATGGTGAAGAAGGCTATCCTGGAAATTTAAAAGTGAGAATAGAATATTAATTAAATTAAAAAAATGAATTTATTATGAATTTCGAATGTTTTTCAGACCAAGATACAGTCTGTAATTTAACTAGTCATTCCTATTTTAATCTATAAACGGAAAAAAATCTCCCTAAATCAATGGAAAATCACTAAATTATGATAAATGCGGACTTTTATACACCTATGAATGACTAATGTATACCTAATGGGGAAATATTATCAGTAAAAAATACTCCTTTTGACTTCAAAAAAATGAAGAGTATATAAGAAGGTCTAAATTTTGAAAAGGAAGATAAATAATTAAAAATAGGAAATGGTTTTGACCATAATTTCGTATTAAAAAAAGAAAAATAAATAGACTTATGTTCTATTATTAATGAAAAAAGTTCAGGAAGAATCTTAGAGATTTATACTAATTAATAAGGAGTTTAACTATATACAGGTAATTATTTAGATGGGGATTTAAAAAGAGGATATTTCTGTTTGGAAACTTAAGCTTTTCCTAATTCAGTTAATTTTTCACATTTTAGTCCCGTAGTTTTGTTGAAGAATTAAGTTTATTAACATTCAACAATTTATAAATTTTATGTTTAAAAATGATTTTTATCAAATATATATATATATATATAGAGGAAAAAATAAAATATATTATTTAAATAAAATAATTTTATATGTAAAAAAATATAATTAATTTAAATTAAATAAATAAATATAATAAGTAATAATAAAATAATATATGAGTGAAGCAAATAGCCCTTTTGAATTATTAAAAGAAGAAATGGAATCCGATGAAATTTATATTAGAGTAAATGCAATCCATAGACTAAGAATTGTAGCCACTTTAATGGGGCCTGAACTAGTAAAATCAACATTACTTCCATATATAGATAGTAAATATATAATAATACTAAAAAAAAAAAAAATAATAAGAAAAAAAAAAAAAAAATAGATTTAATTAAAAAAGAAGAAGACGAAGTACTTTTTGCAATTGCTTAAGAAATTGAAAATTTATCGTATATATATATATATATATATATATATATAATATATATATATATATAATATATATAATAATATTAATTATAAAATATATAATAGGTAATTCATGTAAGGAAATTAAACTACATTATTACCTAATTTAGAACTTTTAGCAAGTTCAGAAGAAACTGTTGTAAGAGATATGGTAAATAATAAAAAAAAAATATTGATTTCAATATATATAAATGTTATTTATTATTTAAAATAAATACTAATATGATCTTTTTATTTATTTAAAAAAAGGCAGTCAAAACATTAGTAAATATAGCAAATTAACTAGGAGAATATGAAATTTAAAATTTTTATGTACCTCTTATTCTTCGCTTAGCTACTAATGATACTAATTTTACATGTAGGGTTTCGGCAGTAAATCTTATGTGTAATATTTATACTCGTTCAGGATAACATAAAGAAAAAATAAGAAAGTAAATAATCCTATTATATATATGCAATATTATTATATATATTTTATTTTTATTTAATAAAATCAGTAAATTTATTGAACTTTGTGGAGAAGAAACACCAATGGTAAGACGTGCAATTGCTTAAAAAATTGGAGTAAAATAAATAATATATATATATATATATATATATATATATAAATATATTATATATATGCTTATATATTTATATGTATAAATACATATTATGTTTATATAAATGTATTTCTAATTTATTTATTTATTTATTTATATAAAAAATTATTTTTTTCTAAAAATAAAAAAGGAATTAGCTATTGTTATAGAAAAAGAATATGTATTAAACTAATTAATATAGAGTGTAAAATAATTAATTTCAGATGAACAAGATTTAGTAAGAGTTTTAGTATTAAATTCTTTAAAATTAATTGCAAAAGTATTAAAAAAAGATGAAAATAAATAACATACACTACCAATAATAATTGCGGCAACTGAAGATAAATCTTGGAGAGTTCGTTTATCATTATCAAAATCATTTTCAGAAGTTTTTAATTAAAAAAATATTATAAAACTATATATAAATAAATATCTATATACTTATTTTATAATTAATTTAAATATAGATTGCAGAAGCTTTTGGAGAAGAAGGGGATAATGTTTCATTAATATAAATTTTTACAAACCTCCTTCGAGATGCTGAAAGTGATGTGAGAATTGCCTCGATTTAATCTTTAGCAAAATTTGTAAAAATTTTATCTCCTGAAAAGCTTGGCATTATAGTTCCTCACCTTTAATATTTAGCAAAAGATTTTGTTCCATAAGTTCGTTCTGGTGTTACTAATGTAATATCTATAATAGTAGGTATACTTCCAAAAGAACTAACTTCAACAAAATTACTTTCCTATATAATTGATTTGTTTGATGATGAATGTAAAGAAGTAAGATAAGGGGCTACTAAGGCAGCTGCCAAATTCGCAGAGTGTTTAGGTCCAGATTCTTTGAAAACTTTAATTCCTTTTTTTAAAAAAAGTGTTGAAGATACTAAATGGAGAGTTAGAATTGAAGCATATGAAGGGTTAGCTAATATTGCTAAATATTTTCATGTATTTATATATATATTTCATTTTTTTTATATTTAAAAAAAAAAGAATAATGATATCTTTTTGAATAGTATAGAACCTCTTTTTATGACTTACATTAAAGATAGAGTGTCTGTAGTAAGAGAAAATACATCAGAAAAATTACCTTAACTTATTCTTACTTATAAAGATTGGGCTACTGGTAAACTATTTAAATAACTACAAGATTCTTTATATAAAGAAAATGGATATTTGTAAAGATAAACTAGTCTTTATGCTTTAAAGATTTTAGCTATGAATATTTCTCCAGAAGTTGCAATAGATAAAATTGTTCCTATTTTTATTAAACATCTAAGTGATGGAGTTCCTAATATTAGATTTTCTACTATAAAATATTTTAAAGAAATTGCAGCAAAGATTGAAAATTAAAATGTTTTGAATGATATTAAAACGTAAATTTTATATGTTTATATATATTAAAATAAAAATATATATGTATATATATATATATATATATATATATATATATATATATATATATATATATATATATTTATTTTTTTTTATTTATATAATAGTAATATCAGTAATTTAATTAATGATTCTGATAAGGATGTTAAGTATTTTGCATAAGAATGCCTTAAACAATTGTGAATTTTTTAAAACTATTAATAAGATTTTTTTTCTTATTTTATTATTTTTTTAAATTTTTCGTTAAATATATTCTTAATTAATAATTTTTTTTAAAATAAATAGATATATTTTTAAAATATATATTAAGTTTTATTTTTATTAAAATATGTTATTATTTTATTATAAATATTCTTTTTTTATTAATATAATTTTTATTTATTTATAAAGCTTTGTATACAAAAAATTATTTTAAAAGGTAAATATCTTATTTTATTTTATAATATTAAATTATAATCTTAATCATTTTTTTGATAAAAAAACTTATTTTCATTATTATTTTAATATATTTGTTTTTATTTTTAATAATATTTGTTTTAAATATTTAATTTAATGTAAATAAGCTATTTAGAAGATTTAAAAGACTATAGATTAAAAGAAAATTAATATAATATTGAAGTTGATTTAAGGTAAAGAAAAAAGTTTATTAAAAATTAATTCATTACAAATTAAAACTGAAAAAGATGGTATGGATTAAATGATCTTTAATCAGAATAATTATCTTTATACTTAAAAAATTTAGTTACTTTAAAAGAATTTACATTAAAATTAACGTTCTTAATATAATATTTATAAATTAAATTATTTAAAAATATAAATATAATAAGATATAGTAAAGTTACTGATAAAAGTGCATATTTTATTGGAAAATCATTATAAAGCTTTTAAAATTTAATTTTTTTAAACTTATTTTTAGAAGAAAACTAAATAGGAGATTAAGGAATAGAAGAAATAAGTAAATGCTTTTAATAAAATAAAAACTTAAAAAAATTGAATTTGTAATTGCAGTATAAAAAAAAAATTACTTTGATTATTTTAAATTATTATTTTTAAAAGGTAAAATTAAATAACTGATAAAGGTTTATAAAAATTATCAGAAAATATAAATACATGTATAAATTTAATTCATTTGCAAATAAATTTATTGTAATAAAAATATATAAATTTATTTGTAAATAAACCATTTTTTTATTCAGTTAAAATTAAATAAAACTATAAGGAGCTTCCAGTATAGGCTAAACAATTGGAAATCTTAGATAATTAAGATAATTATATATTAATTTTAAGTAAATAAAATAATATTTATAAATAAAATATCATTATTAGTGGAAATAGAGTTGCTGGAAAAGCTATTGTTGCATTTGCTAAAAAGCTTAAATTTTGTAATTAATTAATAGAAATGAAAATAGCAATTGAGTTATTTTATTAAAATTAAATTTATAAAGATTAATAATTATTATATAGGGTTTATCTAATAAAAAAAGAAGCAATATAAAATTTCTTAAATATCTTATACAGAAACTTAAAAAAATGTTTATTTATAAAATTTTGTAATTGAAAAAAAAATATATATATATATTATGTATTCTAATAAATAATCTTTTTATTTTGTAACATATAAATAATAGAATATATATATATAAAAAAAATAATATTTATTAAATAGAACTTTTAGTAAATTAATATCTTAGTAATATTATTATTACTATAAGCCATATTTTTCATACTTATACTTTTATTTTAAATGTTTAAACTATTTTTATTAATAAAATATTAATAATTTATAAAATATTTACATAAATTATATATTTTTTATTATTTATATTTAATAAAATATTTTTTATCTTTTTTCATATTAACAATAATATTTTATTTTTAAATATTAAAATTAAGAATAATTTTTTTTAAAAAAATATTGATTACTGTAAGTTATATAACTATATTTATTTTAATTAAAAAAAAAAAAATATATTATAATAATAAAAATAAATATATTAAATACTTTAACTTAATTATTTTATGTGTTTTAAATAAAATTTCATAATTTTATAAATAATTAAAAAAAAAATTATTTAAAATAATATATAGGTAAAAATTAAAATTTAAATTGTATATAAATAATTTCATTATATATATTAATATAAATATAATATAATTTTAAATAAAATTAAAAATAATTTTAATATATTAAATTTATATATATATAATTATAAAATAAATATAAATTAAAAATAAAAATAAAAAATGTATCTATATTTAAAAATAATTATATTATATTTTATAATTAAATCAATATTAAAATTAAATATATTATTAATAATTTTATAATTATATATATTATTATTATTATTATAATATTAATATTATTATTATTATTATTATTTTAATTATTATTATAATTATTATTATTAATATTATTACTAATTATATTTTTAATATTATTTTCTTTAATATTATATTTTTTTTATTTTTCTTGTATTAAATTATTTATATTAATTTTATAATTATTTTTTTGAAATTGTCTTTTATTATTTATACTTTTTTTTTTTTTAATTTTTTTTTTATTTTAATATTGCTAAATTATTTTTTTTTTTTCTTTTTATTTTTAATTTTATATCATTAAAATTTTTTTTATTTTTAAATATTTTATTTAAATATTTTTATTTTTATTTTATTTTTATATCTTTTTTTAATTTTTTTAATAAAATTTCTTTTTATAAATATAAAAATATATATATTATTAAAATGATTTATATAATATTATACATATATTTTTTTATTTTTTTTTCAAATATATGATAAATATCATTAATTATTAATTATATATAATTAGTTTTCCTTTTTTCCAATTAAGATTTTATAGCTTTCAGAAATAAACAAATAATCAATTTTTTATGGAAAATATTTTTATGTTTTGACTATAATATTATCATTTTACTCGACATCAAGTTCTATATAATATATTAACTACTCCAAAACTATATTAGAAAAAAATAATAGAAAAGAAAAAAAAGAGAAAAAAGAAAAAAATACCGATTACAACAATCAAATCAATACAGAAAACATTAAGAATTTGATCAATCGAAGTATTTAAATCTAGTGTACATATATTAATATGATTTTCACTATTTTAAATTTCTAAAAATGAAAATCTCAAAACACAATTACTATCAATAGTAACTAATATATGTTCCATTAAATTACAATAAAAAATAGGTCCAATTTAATTAGGAATAATATTAAAATTTTAATAATAAGGTTACTTAATGTATATATAAATATAATTATATAATTATAATATATATATAATGAATATTATATATATGTATATATATAATTATTTTAAATAATAATATTTATTTTATATTTAAAATATAATTTTAATAATTACCTTTTTTTTATTTATAAATTTATTATAATTTATATAACTTGATATATAAAATAACTATGTTTATATATATATATATAACTTATATATTAAAAACATAATTTTAATATTGTTTGCATTTTTATAAATTATTTGTTTATAATAAAAAAGATATATTTTTTATATAAAAAATATTAAAATAAAGTCAAATATATTTAATTTTGTATATTACAATAAATTTATTTATTTATATTATATATATATATATATATATAAAAATTTATAAATATTTTTTTTTTATTTATATATATATTTTTATATTAATATACATATATATATCAATTACATCTACATATTTTCTAAAGAAATTTCCTGGTTTACAATTATTATCGTTTGAACAAAGTTGTATATTGTCAATTATTTCTTTATCAATTTTCCACAATTAGAATGTTCCATTCTCTTATGCACAAATGAAATATTCAAAACTTGAATGCCAGCCTACAGAAACATAATCTCCTGGCCCTGAACAACCTTAATTTCCGAATTATGCAATAATACATTTATTCAGGAAATTAAATAAATAGATATTTTCATTTAAAGTTAATATAAGTGCAATATTTTAGTGACTATAGTAAATATTTTATTCCGGGCATTATATTTGAATAATTTTACAAGCAGAAATATGCGCACATTAAGTTTCAAATTCCCCAGTTAAATTATCCTTAATAATAAAAATCTAACCTAAATCTCCCCCCAATAAAAAAACAACTGCACTTTCAATTTGATTATTTTATATTTATTTAAACTAAAAAGTTTATTCACAACAGAATATTTGCTGACTATATTTCTAATCATTATAAAGTGTCTTAAAATCGATTTTTATTTATTATAATAATTCCAATTCTATTTTAGGATTATTATTTTTATCAATAGAAAAAATACATAATTCCATATCTTAAAAAAATACTAAAATAATAAAATCTAAATGCTCTTTAATATATATTTTATATTTCTATTAATTATTTTTTAAATATTAATTCATATTTTTTTAATCCTAGAATTAAATACTTTATAATTGTTATATATTATTTAAAAACTTTATATTTATTTTCCTTTAACCCTAATTCATATTTTAAACTTAATTTGTATTTTAATCAATATCTATTGTTTCTTATAAATGTTTTTTTAATTCTTATATGAATTTTCTTATTGTTTTGTCATATATAGGAAATCGATTATAGTTTTTATTATCTATTTAGTCTTGTGGTTCCTATTATTATTAAAATTAATTAAATTATCTTTTTTTTTTATTTTCCATATTTTTATATTAATATTTATTAAATAATATTCAAGCTTTATTTTATATATAAATATATACTTAAATTTTTTAAAATTATTTTATTACTAAAAATAAAAATAAAAATATAGAAAAAAAATAAAATAAAACCAAAAATATATATTTTTTTTTTATTCATAAATCTTATTATTTGTCTTCTTAAGGTTTAGCGTCTTTTCCATCCCATTTAGCTACTTTAACAATAGGAGGAGTTTAACTTAAAGTAGAAAATCCAGTAATTTTTCCCTAAACAAGGGATTTGAGGAAAGTTTAAATATTTTTTTCGTTAAAACTGCCTTTAAAAACAGTATAAACATTCTTTTTATAAGAAATAGCAACTAAACTAGGATACCCGCTTCCTCCTGCATTCAATTTTTCTTCCAAATCGTATTAATCACCTCCCTAACTCCACAAGAAAGATACCGGATTATGTTTATTTTATTCAGCAACAATCTTAATTAACTATAATTATTTATTTCTTTAAGCCGCACCAGCATCATATATATGAGGAAGGAAGAAAAGTATACAAATTCCAGATGAATTAGTACAAAACTCATCATAAACACTTTAATCAATTAATTAATTAATTACAACAGGTTTAAATTTATCACTTTATTCTTTAGCCCAGTTTTCCATAGAATTTGCGTCTCTATTCCCATTATAAGGTATAACTTTTAGAAAGAAAATAAATTAATAGTATATATGTAAAAGAATATATATATATATATATATATATATAAAATAAGTTAATTACCATTTTTGTCAGTCTTATTTCCTGTAGGGAAAAATTTAAGTGTTGGATATCCATTTACACCAAATCTTTAGGCTACTTTAGAATGTACAGTAGCATCTACTTTAGCAACATTTATTTTTTAAGATTTTAAATTAGTAGCTAATTTATTCCATTCAGGTGCTAAATTTTTACAATGGCCACACCAAGGAGCATAAAATTCTACAAACCAAGGTTCTTGGCTTTTCATTACTAATTCGTTAAAATTATCATCTGTTAAAACTACTACATCTCCATCTTTTTCAGCACCTTTATTATTACTATTATTATTACTATTACTATTATTATTGTTATTAGATTATGATTTTCCAAATAATCGAATATCAGTAATTTTTTTAGACTCAGAATGAAGGTATTTTACTATTTCGTTAGCTGTACGACCTCCATTATAATCTAATGGTGAATTTTTGTTATCTCCGAAAAATTTAATTGTTGGAAATCCTTAAATATTATAAGGAGAACCTACATCCTATAATTATATATATATATGTAAATAAATATATATATATTTATAGTATATCGAATTTAAATTATTTATAATTATTTGTTTATTTATCTAATTTTAATAATAATAATATATTTTTTACTTAATCTGTTGTCATATCAACTGCTCCTATTTTAGCAATTCCTTCTAATGCTTTAGCAGCTTTTTCCCATTCAGGAGCTAAACTTTTACAATGTCCACACCAAGGTGCTTTTTAAATATATTAAAAAGTTAATTTATATTAAATGCATATATATATATATATATATATATATATATATATATATAAAAATATATATATATTTACATATTTTTATATTTAATTAATATATATATATTAATATATTTTTTTTTTTACCATAAAATTCTACTAACCATAATTCTTTTGATTAAATGACTTATGTTTTGAAATTTTTACTATCAAGCTTTATTACTTTCGATTTGGAATCATATAATGATTATGTTGAAATTATTAAAATAAATAACAAAGTTATGATTTATTATTATCTCATTTTATTTTATAAAAAAAAAAATATTTTTTATTTATTAATAATAATTTTTTTTTATTTTTACTTTTATATTGTATAGAATGATATATTCTTTTAGTTTTTTTATAAAACTTTATTAAATAAAAATATAAATAATCATTTATTTTATTCACACGTATTAAAAAAATACATATTCTTATTATATAATTTATAAAATATTTTCATCAATTTATCTCATATATTTAATAAAAATTTTGAATAAAATATTTTATTTTATAAAATATAAAATTTTAATGTACAAAACCTTTTTATTTTTAAATCATTTTATTTTGGTTATTTCATTTTTATATAAAAAAAAAATATTAATATTTATATTATCTTTATTTCTATAAGAAATAAATAATAATAAGAAAAATAATATAAATAATAAAAATCTATAATTAATTTAATATAAATATATATCAAAAATATATAAAATATAATAATTTAATTATTATATTTTTTTATTTAGAAAAAAAAACTATTTGTTTTTACAAAATAATTAATTTAAAAAAATAAAAAAATGTTATTTTTTTTTTTTTTTCAATTTTAATATATTAATATTATTATTATTATTTTTTTAAACAAAAATTAAATAAAATAAAAATAATATATTTCCCAAAATTATATATAAAAATAATTAAATATATAAAATTTTAAAAATTATTTAAATTAAAATAATATCTTTTTCAAAATAAATAAATAAATAAAAAATGAAATTTAAAAAAAAATTAATATAATTAATTTTTACAATAATTTTTTTTTTTTTTTTTTTAAAAAGAAAATTTTGTTTAAATTATAAAAAAAAAAATATCTCACATAATCATTATTTTGATAAAAATCACTTAAAAATTTATTTTATTTAAACAAAGTTTTCTCTTAAACTACTAAAAATTTATTAAAAGAAAATTCTGTTAAATTATTTATTAAATAAGTTCTTAAAATTAAACCCATTTAACTCTTCTTAAAGTTATCCAGGATCGATATCACCTAAAAGTTAAATTATTTATTAGTTTTATAAAACCTCTTAATTATAATCCTAATAATTATTTTTCATAAAATAATCATTAAGTATATTTTAATTTTTATAAATATTTTTATTATTAATGTTTTAGTTTATATATTATTAATAATCTTCATTTTAACTATTTTCTTCAATTTTAATATTACATTAATTAAGAATTTAATTTTTTATTATTAATTATGTAAACAGCAAACAAAAATGAGTCCCAAAAGTGAAAGTATAGCAGCAATTTTTTATCTTTTTTTATTAAAGAAAATATTTTTTTAACTTTTTTTCTTTAAAAAGTTTTTCTTTTATTTTCTAGCATTCCTTTAATTAATTCTCATATTATTTAACAAGTTTTTTATAATTCTAATTTTCCTCTTCTATTTATTAAACATATTTTTTCTTATTATCCCTTGATTTTTAAGCTGAGATTCGATTTCTAATCATTTGTTTTCTTTTCTTTTCTAAATCTTCATTTAATTATACACTACTATTGAAATTATTCTAAATAACTATTTTTTCAGCATTTAATATATCTTATTGTTAAATTTTCATTTATTATCTCATTTTAGCTTTCTATATTTTTCTCAATCTATTCATTTTTTAGTTTGTACATTATTATAATTATTATTATTATTATTATTATTATTATGTGTAACTCTCTAAAAATTAAGATCCATTAAGAGTCCTTTCATTTTTTGTCATTTTAGAGTTAAAACTAGTACTTATATCGTCTACATTACTGTTCTCGTTTCGGATTTGGTAGTCGTTTTCCATTTTAAGGAAATTATGGCTTTCAAAATCAAAATTTAAGCAATCAGATTCGAATTAATCGAAAATATCTTCCTCATATGCATTGAACTAAATTTTATTATTAATTTATTTTATTATTTTTTAATGCATAATTTTTTTATTTTACATCTTGGTACATTATATTTATATTTTTGGGCTTTTGTATTTGTTGTTTTTGATATTTTTTTTTTAAAAAAAAAATAATTATTATTTATATGTAAATTATTTAAATACTCACTCTTTTCTTAAAATATAATTTATATATAAAAAAAACATAATTATATGCGTTTTTGTTTTTATTAATTATTTTTAATTGTGAAAAAAAAAAAAAATATTATTATTAATTTTATTATTTTATTATCTCTTTATATAATAGATTAAAAAAATATCTATTTTAAATAAAATTATAATAAATTGAATAAATAAATAAATAAAAAAAACAAAACTAATATATATTTAATCTAAAATTAAATTAATATAAAATTATTTTTTTCTAAAATAAATAAATAAAAATTACATATACCTATTTTATTTTTTTAATAAATAAATAATTATATATAAAGTATATTTATTTAAAAGTTTTTTTATTTAGATTTTTTTTTTAAAAAAAAACAATTATTTATAAACATTATATTATCTTTAAAAATTAAAAATTTACATATTAATTATTTAAATATATAAAAAAATATTTTGAACTAATTAAAATTTTAATTTATATAATTTTTTTTTTTTTTTTTTTTAAATAAAAAATAAATATAAGTTTAAAATAAATAAAAATACAAAAAATAATTAAAAATAAAATATAATAAATTAATTAAATTATTAATATTATAAATAAATACTTAATATATATTCTTATTTTATTTTCTTTATACATATATATAACTAATGATTTTTTATAATTTAAAAATGCACTCATTTTTAATTTTAATATAATTTAAGATTATTAATATTATAAATTATGATTTTATTTTTAAAAAATCAAAGTTATAATTACTTATAGGCTTATAACTAAAAACTTGATTTAAATATATTAATTATATTTGCTTGTTTTTTGAAGGGTCCTAATATTTAATTGTTTATTTAACTAGTGGTTCTTATTTTAAAATATTATTTTTTCAAAGATTCAATATCAATTTTTTTTTAAAAAAAAAGATAATTATTTTCAGAAATTTTTTTCTCTTAAAATATTTAATATATGTTAAATTTAAAATAATTTAAAAATTTTTTACCTTAAAAAAAAAATTCTATAGAAATTTATATAAAACTTTTTTTATAATTTATAATAGTTTAAATATTTATATTATTATTTTTATAAAATTACATTTGAAAAAAAAGTATAATAATATATCTTTATTTTTCAGATAATATATTTGTCTATTAAAAAATATAAATTCAATATTATAGTTTTGTTTTAATAGTTTATTTTATTGTACATCTAATAATTTTTCCTTTAAATATATATTAAGGGTTATATTACTTTAATAACTAAAATTAAATGTTATATAAAAATGACTAAAATAATTTATTTATATTTTTATTTAAGATAATTTTAAGTAAAATATAATTTTAGATATATTCTCAATATGTTAAATCTAATGAAAAAAACTTAAATTTTTTAAGAATAAAATTTTTAAAGTATAAAAATAATATTTTATTAAAGTTATGATATCTTTATATTTTAAAAAATATAAAAATATATTCGAAAAACAATATAAATAAATATATATATATAATACAAAAATTTATTTTTATTTATATATTTAAGATAATTAATATATATTTATATATTTATATATTTATATATTTATATATTTATATAATTATATGTTTTTTTTCAAATTCTTTTTATATAATTAATACATTTTTAATTTAATATTGTAACTTATATTCAAATAAAATATAAAAATATAATTATTATAATAAATTATATTAATATTTCTTATATATCAATTTTTAAATATTATTTAATAGTATTAATTTATTTAAATAGTATTTTATATCATTTTATTTTTTAGTTTTTTTATAAAAATAATAATACTATTTCAAATTTAGAATATAATTTTTATATAAATTATTAGTACTATTATAAATATTTTATTCCCATATTTTTATTAATATTTTTACTTTTTTCATATTATTAAAAAAATACAAATAATATCATTTAAATTTAGACAAATTATGTATTTTTTAATATATATTTGGTGACGGTTACCCTATTATACTACTTCTTTTTGAATTATAATTTATATTATTTAGTGATTTTTCTGTAAATTCATCTTCTTTTTCAATTACAATATTAATATTATGTTAAGACTCAAAATTTTATTGTAATTGATTCAAATTATTATTACTTAAAATATTATTTTTTTTCTTTAAATAATCTACAACTCCTCCAATCTAAGCAAAATCTTAAGAATTAATAATTTTATAAAATTTTTTTTCCTTTTAAGTTATCTTAATTTAGTTTACGCATTTAAATTTAAAATAGAAATAATTTTATTTAAATTTCCATTTTGAAAATAAAAACTGAAATTAAAAAAACATTCGAAAAAATCCATAAAGCGATTTTTTTTTATATTTCATTATTTTTTTTATTTATTTAATTATAATTCTTCTCCTAAAAATTTTACTAAAATGAAATCTTATTTTCACTTTTTAAGCTTAAAAGTTTATTTAAAATTTAAGTTATTAACTTCTAAGAGTCTCTATCAAGTCTTTTTAGAGAAGTAGACGAAATTATATCTTTTTAAAAAAAAGTTTACTATTAAATATTCTACATATGAGGAGACGAAATACTATCATTATTATTAGATTCTTTCTTTTATTTTTTTTCTAATTATTTTTAAATTTAAGATAAGTCTTCTAGTTTAGATTAAGCTTTTTAATTAACTGGTGTAGATAATTCTTAATTACCATAATTTTTGCAGTTTTTTTAAATATTTTTCCAGAATTTTTCTTTTTTTTACATCTTTTCTTAATTAAAATTATTATAAAAAGGTTATAAAGAAGTTTTCTTTTAATATATTTTCCGAATATCTAAAATTTAAGGTATACATTAATCAGATATACTTTTTCTTTGAGTATTACTGACATTTTAATCCTAATATTATTTATCTTATATTAGTTTAATATAAGTATTATTATTATTATTATTATTATTATTATTATTATTTTTCTTTTT